AGTGGTTACTTTTCGAGTGGTGGAACGCGCTTGTCTAGAGACGGGGGTTAATGCAAGCCGGGGTCAGCCAAGGCGCCGCATCTTGCGCAATATCCTGCAAAGCCAGGGCAGCACTGACCCCTGGCTTGGGCGCAGGATCCCGCAGAAAGTCTGCAAGAGTTTGCAGGATCCTGCAAAGCCTGACTGACCTGGGTTTGCATTGACCCAAGTCAATCGATTCCCCGCGGCGCAGGCTCGGACTCCATCTTCGCGAGAAGCCTTCGAACGACCACCCCCCATCGGGCGGCGAAAGTTATGCATGTCCACTGCCCCCTGGCCGGGCCCTTCTATATCGTTCACCACCTCCCAGAGGTCTCCCGTGACATCTTCATCTTGCCGTTACAGAGTGTGTGTCGCCCAGAAGCAAAGGTTGCCTGGAAGATGTTTTAAAGATGATCGTAATACTTAACAAAATGGCCGGGCCCTTCTTGGGCCCAGGAGCTGTGCATGCGCCCCCCTGGCCAAGGAAGGAGGGCGCGGCGTATATACACCGCTGCAGGGCCCAGGATGAGCCTGGCCAGGGAGCAGTGGATGTGGATAGTTGTCGTCGCCCTGCCCTCCGACACCCTGGCAGGGGCGTGCCGCGCCGCTCCTGGAGCAGCCACCTCGTACGACTCCGGCCTGGAACTTGGGCAGCCACACGGGCGTGAAGACCTGCATGCAGGGGCAGCCATTGAGGGGATAGGCTCAACGGGGGGGGGACGGGCGCGTCGACACCCAATCGCCCAGTCATCGCCGATAAGGGCCCGATCTGCCCGCCCTGCCCAGGAACGCGCGGATTTGCTGTCGGGGGCCTATCGTCAGTCTATCGGCGATGCGCTGCCGTTGCCGGCTCGATATTGCCCCTCTTTTTTCTGCCAGTCCCCCCGATCGATGCCCCTCATGCATGACCTGAGCGCTCGGCCTGCCCGCAGCCGCGTCCGTCCTCGTGGAGGAAAAGGAGGGGGAGGGGGAGGGAGCAGGAGGAGGAGGAGGAGGAAGAGGAGGAGGACGAGGAGGAGGAGGAAGAGCCAGATCAGGAGGAGGAGGAGGAGGAGCACGAGGAGGACCAGTGTAAACCCAAGGGTCATCAACGATGTTGAAATATACCCTCCCTCCAAGCTCCCTCCCGATAATTAGGCCACTACAACCGTTCATCTCCACTGCTTGGACCGCCCCGTTGGAAAACAATCGTTTGTAGGCTCTGAAGCATGCCAAAACATTGCTCTCGGGGTTCCAACACCACGGATCAACCTGATTGTTGCGTCTGGACGATCCTGAATCATACCAGAGCGCCATTTTGGGGATTTCAGCACCGCGAATCTACGCAACGGTTACACCCTCAAAATCCACCACCTTGCCGCCCAGGATCTCCCCTTGCTCGTGGTTGTCGTGCCTGCCAGCGCGGTTGCTACACCGCTTCCCATGGCTTCCTGGAGCTCGGAGTCAGTCGAGCAGATCCGCCAGGTTTCGCGAAGCAGCGGCCCACTGCGAGGGCATCGGAGACAGCGCGCACATTCCGTGACCAGCCTCTCGCAGGTTTGCTCCCGAATCCGCCGGAGGGCAGATGAACGGGACCAGTTCTGGGATCGTCGAGGCTGCTCAAGGTCGACCTCGGTCCCAGGATACTAGAGGCCGGGAGGAGGGCCTCACAGCCTGCCTGAATCTGGCGAGCCGTCTGGATCTTCCTGCGAAGGCGTTCCCGATCCGCTGCGGTCTTCTGGTTCCAGTTCTGCAGTTGGCAGCCGGCCGTGCACGGAGGGCTCACGACGATCCTGCGAGGTCGGTGTTGCCGTATCCAGTGAGCCAGTCGTCGCACTCCCATCTTGGTGCCCATGCCGAAGCCGTCGTGGACGTTTGCGCGAGAGGCGCGGCCGCCCAGGTCAGGTCGATCACCGCCTGGGCCAGTCGGGACGTCGGCGGCATGCTGACTTCCAGCATGTCGCACCGCCCGTGACGGGCCAACAGGTTGACGTCGCCCCCTTATTTTTTTCTTGTAGTCCAGGTCGTACTGGTCGATCGCTTGCTGGAAAGTGTCCAGGTCGTGGTTGTTCAGAGCTCCTCTCGGCCTCGCTTTGAAGCTGCCTCGGGCGTCGCAGAGTCGCCCGGCATCTCGAAGGACTCCGACGAGGGGTCGTCCTCCAGCTTCTTCGTGATTTTGATCAGCATGCGCCTCCATTTCATGTAGATCACCTCGGTCCTGCGAAGCAATCTGACCTCGGGGCTCGCTGGCACTGGAGGGCTTGCCATTCGTTTCTTCGCTTCTCCAGCCTGTGCCAGCTGCTTCTTCCGAATCGGCGGGCGGTAGTTCTGCGCGAAGTTCAGCGAGGGCTTGCCCGCGATCTTCAGTAGACACGCGTGGGTCTCGCCGCCCGTGCACCAGCAACCGGTCCGTTTGCGACCTGGTTGACTGCGGCATCCGCACCTCTGAAAGCCCTGGGCACGAGACTTCGCCGCCTGTACCAGTGTCGCCGTGGGGTTGGCCCCGGCAGCATTGGGAATCACATCTTTTGGAGTGCAGAAGCGAACTCGTTTTGTACGGCCCTTGCCTCGTACTGGATCTGAGAAGAACTGGCTGTCGGAGATGACGGCAGCTTCATACGGAATGGAGTCGTCTTGCGACCAGCTGGACGCTCCTGTGCTGGCGAAGGCGCCGGTGGCACAGCCGAAGGCGACGATCCCGTGCCACGGCGGCATGCCATCCGCTGGATGTGGATAGTTATGGGAAAGTCCTGACTGTTCGTCTCTGCGAGCCGAAAGTGCTCGATGCGCGTCGAAGTCGTCCGGATCGGTGAGTGGCTCTGGAGGGCGCTCCGTCTGTTTCGATGCCGGATTCGATCGATATCGCGAAGTCTACGGGGATTCCGAAATTGTCGAACCAGTCCTCTGCAATCCCGACGATGTCTCCCACTCTGCCCGCGAAGCTGGTGACCGTTTCGAATTCGCCGATGTCGTACCCCCTGGAGTCCATGATGGTGTAGTAGTTTCCTAAGTAGCCCGTGGGGAGCTCGGAGGTCTCCGCGAGGTACCAGAGGGGGTCGAGGATACCAGAGGGCCTCTATGATCATCTCAGTCTCTAGGAGGCTTCTCAGGAGCAGTTAGATTCGTTGGGTTTGTCTTGGTTCTCTTTCTTCTGAACCCCACCCCAATGGACGTGTAGAAGAGGTTTTTCT